CAAAACCTAAACCCTAAATATAAGCCACATGATTCATTCGATTCTATTCACCATTATCCTGTATTAGTAGACAAGTTAAACTAGTACTGGAAACGGAGACGACCCAGGGGGCATATGAATTTTTTTGGAAGATCGAGCAGATCAAAGCCGCGACAACACTATAGACCAACACACTCCTCCTGCTGCTGTACTTCTATTTTCGACGTAACGAGTTGTTAGTGAGGAGAGACCATGTCCGACACCAAGGAAAGCAAGGAGGAAGGAGGAGAGCCCCCATCCAAGAGGGCCAAATCAGAAGAAGACGAGGAAGAGGCAGCAGATGAGTGGACTGTGTTAGCGGACTCTTATGTCAAAGTGCTGGTGCCCAGCTTTGACCCCATTTACAAGGCGGTCGCCGAGGTACTGGACGGCGCCACTGATCCTCCTCGGTGTCTGATGGATTATGGATGCGGACCAGGAGAACCAGCCTTGACACTATTGAAGGGAATCTCTGGCATGAAAAAGGTTCTGGGTGTCGACTCTACCAAGCCGATGCTGGAGATTGCCAAAAAGCGGGCCGAAGAAGCATCTGCACAAGATCGCATTGTGTTTCACCATGTTCGTCGCGATATTTCCATGGTGGACTTCAAGGCTCAAATCGCAGGCCTTACAACTACCACTAGTTTGGATTTGGTGGTATCCGCCTTTGTTATGCATTATGTGGATTTTCCACGTCGTGTGGAATTGGTAACTGCTTTCTTGGAAATGGCTCCTCATTTGCTGTTGGTGACTTGGGGGCAGCAATCCAAAGTGGGATTTCTGAGAGCCATCAAGACGTTTGGGAAATGGAAGGGATCGGCAGACTCGACCAAAGATATCTGCGAGTTGGGGATTATAGACGAAGATGATGGCAACCCACAATCTCCCAGAGGTTCCTTCACAATGTCTCGCAAGGAGAACTTTCAGTGCATTGTGGATAAAGTCGAGAATGTGGCTGTGCAGTTGTCATCTTTTGAAACTCGCACCATTCCAATCCGATTTCCCAGTGTGGCGACCTTGTTGAATTTCTTGCCCATGGCCACTGACAAGAGTGACTGTCAGGCGGTTTGGAAACTCCTTCAATCGTGGGGCAAAGAGCACGTGGAGGTTGGAGACGGACCAGATGACGAGTTGGTGTTCCCTTCGGAAGTGGTCTTTTGTCGCATCTCTCGTAAAGCAGAACCATAAGGACACGAACAGAAGAGGAACTAGTGCAAGGGTTTTGGCCATCCGTCCGTCGAGGCGGTTGTTCGAGACACCGGGTCTGCTTCTCTACCTGTCTTGTGTTGAAGCTTGCCGGGTACATATCCATACTTGTGCGAGTTGCTTTGAATCATTGCTCGTCTTGTTGGATCTTTGACACACCTGGCGTGAATCAGGGTCGTTGCGGTATCTTCATGCAATTGGTGAAGGTTCGTCCCTTTAGTGGACTTGCGACGGATGTTTCCCTCTGCCGCCATGCAGTGCTGTTTCTTGCCCCGTATTTTATGGTGGGATCAGCCGGCTGTGTTGAAAATGGATCATTGTGATCTCCTGCTGGAGCTTCGGCGGCTGGCTTTCCTTGAAGCTGAGACAGCATTTCTTTTTTATCCGGTGCTGCTTTATCGATTGTCTTGATATCGAAGTATCTCATCAGCGGGGTCCTTCCATAGCGTACCCTCATTTGCTCACAGCAGGGGTGCGGTATCCGCTTAGGAAGGAACCAGGAGGACGGTGAGTGCAGCCGTGAGAGTGAGCGAGGGATCCCATAACAGAGCAGAAGAGAAGGAAGGGAGGAAGCTAGGGAACCAGCAACTAAAAAAAAGCGAAAGGCAAGAGATTTAGCCAAGAAGGCCAGGGCGGTACAATCACAGGAACTCATATTAGAACCACGGAGGCACAAAGTATTGTAGCTTGTGGAGCAAGGGCAATGCTGATAAGATCCAGCCCCAGCTAGATGCATAGCTCGCTAGCTAGAGCTATCTAGTAGAGTGAGGGCTTGCACCCCTTTGTTGTTTCAGTGGATGGCATGCTTGCCCCTCAAGCCAAGACTCTCTTACAACGCCTTGCTTCTGCTACTGCCTCCAAAACTCAATTTTCCTACTCTCAAATGATGTTCTTCATGCAGACCCGTATCTCAATTGCCCTTGTGAAAGCTACCCATTTATGTCTCCGTGGATCCCGCAAAGCCAAACCCTTTGCCCCCCGTAATGGTCCTCAATTTCTTGCCCCTGATCCCTCAGAACCTAGTCCTGAATTTCGACTGTTCTTTGCTTAAGCCTGGCCCCGGCTGGCTTCCGTAGATAATTTCCCTACTCTAAACCCCTTCTACCTTGAACATGGTCCGGGTACAGTAACTGTTGTGGAATGTGTCTTCTTGGGAAGGACATGAAAGGCTACGAGTCTCTTTATCTCAATAATCTCCCAAAACCTGCTGTTAATTCTTATTGCAACTGGGACAAGCGCTTTCTTCCCCGACCATCCGAGTTGTTTCGCATTGCGACCGGTCACACATGCCCTCAAAGGGACGCCCAGGATCCAGGATAGCACGGTTTCATGTTGACACACCTCATTTTTTCTTTTGTTTCCCTTCAGTGGTCCAGATCATCCATTTTCAAACAAAGCCATGAACTTTCTGGTTGCTTTCTTGTTCCTGCCGTTTGCAATGGCCCAGCTTCCGTACACCTTAGAGTTTGTGCCTGCTCACAAAATCTGCAATGGTCCTCGCATCACTTTTCAAAAGCTACCTTATGCCGATAGGACCGACCCGGCAAACCAAGATGAAATCACGCCAAGTGTTCGACTGGCCAGATGGGACAGGTATGCAATCTTCAATGTGGTTGATGGCCAAACTCCAGCTCGTCGACAGGAGCCATCTGGTGTTGAATTCGCTGTCGGCACTACCGCAGACACAGTTTGAGGGCTTTGTGGATTCACACAACGGCAATGATTTCATCCCCGGTCAACATCAAGGACCTGGATTTATGTTTTCTCAAGGCACACACATCCAAGTCTTTCACTTGATTGCCGAGGATTTGTATGTCGATGTCACGTATGAAGTGTGGGGACAAGGTGGATCCTTCCGATGGACTCGTTCCACGTGTCCTCCTTGTATGTATCGTGGAGGCTGCGATGGAGCCGGAACTGGGGACCCTCACTTCAAGACATGGGTGGGCAAGTGGTACGACTTCCATGGAGAATGTGATTTGGTCTTCCTCAGCAGTCCCTCCTTTGAGGAAGGAACTGGATTGGATATCCACATCAGGACAAAGGCCCGCTACCAGTATTCCTTCATTGAGTCTGTGGCTGTTCGAATTGGTGAAGATGTTCTTGAGGTTGGTGAATATGGTGGCTACATGTGGAATGGCATCTCCAATGCGGAGTTGGATACAATTGACAGGTTCACGATCAACCATGAAAAGGTCAACTCAAAGCAGGATGTGTTTACAATTGAACTTGGAGCTGGAAAGCAGATTGTGATCCAATCCTTCAAGGACCTTGTCAGTGTCAAGACTGTTGGTGCCAGCTTTGAAGATTATGGCAGCAGCAAGGGTCTATTGGGAGAGTTTGGCTCTGGCAAGTGGGATGCCCGCAACGGAACTTTCTTGTCAGATGCGAATGCTTTTGGAAATGAATGGCAAGTTCTGGAAACTGAGCCCAAGCTCTTTCAGGCCAATCGATTTCCCCAGCATCCAGCTACTTGTATCATGCCTAGTGCTATAAAGGTTGGACGTCGTCGTCTTGGTGAATCCACGGCCATGGAAGCAGCAGACAAGGCCTGTGAGCACTGGGGAGACCTGAAGGACCAGTGCGTCTATGATGTCATGGCTACTGGAGACTTGGATCTTGCAGGGGCTGGTGCTTTCTAATTAGGAGTAGCAGGTCTACCGGTGTGTCTGCGGACAAAGAAATGAGGGACCACGCAGGATCTCATGTCATAATACGTTTGCATTGTGGGATGCGGAAGGTTGTGTTATGTCTTTGCTACTCAACAACAAGATGGTAAAGAAGTAGATGCATATGTAAAAGTTTATTGCTGTAAATAAGTGGCGATGGACCATGGATGGCTTCATCATTTCCTGCCGCTTGCTGCACGCCCTATTCAAGAATCAAGAACCGTTGCGCGGTGTTTAAAGGCTTCCTTCTCTTTCTTTGGCTCGCGTTGAGCGATATTAGTCCTCGAGAACCCGGAAAATTAATCATGGCATACAGTTCATTAGAGGGCTTCGTGTCTTTTAGCTAGCTCCTTGTGCTCTCATGGGACGATTTCCTCCCTTCCTTTGTGGTGCGGATCAGACGGAAGTGTGGGGGGGGGCTCTGTGAACCGGAACCGGAGTGAGCTTCGGATCAGCTCGAACTGTATAGTTTATCCAACTCTGGCAGCTTATACAATCACATGTTTTGTTAATTAAAGCTGAGGTAAATAAAGCTTTCTTAATTTTTGTTTTTATCACATCCACCTGATTTGTGGTGGGCGCAAAAAGCGGCACCGTTCTCGTCCGTGCGACTTTAGAACTGATGAGACGACTGCAAGGTTACATCATCCGCAGAACTTCAGGAGAGGCACTTATTCTTGTGAGAACTGATTGACACGATTTTGTCTGTAGTTTGCAAGGGAGCAAGCTCCTTCTACTATGGTAGCTCAATCTGTTGAGGCGATTGATAGACCATGCACAGACCAGTCGTTCTTCATACAGGATATCCGGAGATCGAGTTTTCGTATCTCGTCAAACATGTGGTCTACGAATCCTTCCGTTCTAAGTTTCTAACATCGCCTTATAGCTAACCTATTGACAACTCTGACTCTCCTCGCCCTTCAGTAGAAACAAGGAATGAGACAGATGTTACGAGAGGTGCAATAAGGCGAAGCCCCACGGGCAGACAATTGCAAACGATCCTATAGCTAGGCCCGAGGTCCGCCAGGGCGGGCGTTCAAGGAATCTGACGTTTCTGGTTTTGATATGCTTGACTATGAGACCAGTGTACCGTACCGTACCGTACCATTACGATATGCAGTCTAATACTACCACAACGCACCACACGCAAACCCCTCTCACATGTCCCGTGTGTTCAGACTTGATTCGATTCTTGGGCCCATTGCAAGGAGTACGGCAACCGTGGACACTCACACAACGCCAGCGTCTGCGTACAAAAACCTGCTGAACGCTCAAGACCCTTGAACATAAGTTCCAGACCAAGAAGTACCTCGTGCAAGCCATCGGCCCACAAAAAAAGCAACCAAAAAGAGAAAGCAAGATAATGACAGGCACATCCTCGCCGACCGCTACTGCGGACAATGGACGCTCATCGTTGGGTGGCACAACCATGAGATTCGACGGTCGAGCTGGAAGTGGAACCGGGGATGGAGTTTGCAAGAGAGTGAGAGACTTTTTCGGAAGCAATTCCGCATTCGAGTCAAAGAAGACCACGGTGACAACATCTCGATTCTGGATATTGATAGCCTTTGCGTTGTTTGCTGCTGGGTACATTTGTGGTGACATTCAGCTCGGTGCCTATGATTCCCACAATCTTGCGACAGTTACCAAGGAAGATGTACTGCAGATTGTCACAGTTGCCAAGGAAGATGTTCTCCAGATTGTCCAGCAACATGCCCGGTACAGCAATCAAGACCACAACATGCCTACACTCACAAAGGCAGATGTTCTCCAGATGATTAAGCAGCACAGCTCCCGTGATGTTAGCACTCCCACCACCAAGCAGATGCTGGAGGTTGTCCCATTTACTGGAAGTAACTTCACGTCAAAGAAGTTTGATTCGCAAGGCCTGCAAATTGAACTGCAGCTCACAATGAGCAAAATCGTTCTACTTCTTGCCTTTTGTTTTGTGGCTGGGGTTTATCTTGGTAGCTGTCTCCAACCAACTCTATTGCAGAACCTCAACAGAGCATCCACACTCCCCAAGGACGATACTCTTGATGTTGCCCAGCCTTGCCTACCAGAAACCAATGTGCCCCCCCTGACCAAGGACAATGTTTGTCAGATTGTCCAGATTTGCATTGACGGAGCCAACGTATCCACACTCACCACAAATGATGTTGTTGATGTTTTCAATCACTGCTTTCAAGAAGCCAAGATCTCCACAATCACCAAGGAAGATATCATTGAGATTGTCAAGCAAAACAGCAAGGATGTGAAGATGCCCACACTCCCCATTAAAGAAACTCTCAATGTTCATGGTACCCATCCCAGTACCAAACAAGCCACAATGCCTAATTACCCTTTTCTATGGAAGAATGCCAACTCCCCCACTCTTGAGAATTCATCGGGTTGGAAGAGTGATTATTTTGATGTGGATCCGTTTGTATTGGGTCACAAGTATCAGTGGACTGTCTACACAGTTGCTACGAAGGAGGAGCAAACTGCTCCAGTTTGGCTTGGTGTGAAAAAATCAACACAAACTCTCCGTCCAACAGGTTTGTTTGGTGGCGATCAAAAGGGTTGTTGGGGAGTGTATGGTTACTTGGGATGTGAGAGATCTGAAGGTGCAATGGGTTCTTCACTTGGTGCGGCTGCCAAGTTTGGAAAAGCTTCCAATGTCACTTTGACTCTTGATTTGTCAGAGGGCAACGCTGACAATGGATCTTTGTCCATCTGTGTCAATGGCGGAGCAACCATTGTGGCAGTTTCCGATATGCGAGCTCATCTGGAAGGCAGCAATGTTATTGGTTACCAGCCAGCTGTGAGTTGCTCAAGAGCCAGTGCCAAAATCTTGAGCATTGAGGCGGTTTAGTTTGTCTTGGATCGAATCGAATCGAGAAGGGACACCACTTTGAAAAAGCTTGAGAGCTGAACAGTATTCCTGGTGTCGGCACCTGGAGGAGCTGACAGTTTTGCTGTTGTTCTTCCTGTCACTATTGATTCTCAGCTCTCGGCTCTTTAGGAATAAAATTCTTAACTTATAGTGATAAAGTTTATTCATTTGCTGAAGCCACCTCTTGGCTAGTAGCTACTAGGACCAGGTACCGGTAGCTTAAGGGTACGGGTACGGTTGGCACTTTGGCTGGATGCTCACAAAGCCCTGCTTATTCCTGTCTCGCTTCTCTACTAGCTATAGTTTAGCTATCGGTAGCTAGCTATACTCGGATGTCGACTTTGGCTGTCATATGTTGTGGCACCGTCATGTCGCCTCCAATGCAGGCAGCAGACCAAGTTGCTCTATACGTATCTCCAAGGTACTACTAGATATCAGGTTCAACGGGAAAGTTAGGATGACTTGGGTTAACATTGTTGCATCTTGGCTGGCTGCCACAGGATTGGATCAACCTTGTCTTTTAAAATTGTTCAGGGACAACCCGTACAGTATCCCCCCACCAGTAAGAAGGAATAGCTAGAGCCAGCTGGTACCGTATAGCCAGCCATCACATCATTTGATTGGATTGGCTGTCATGTTAATTGTGATGGTACGATATAGGCATGTGGGTGTGTCACTGTCATGCACACCGTCCATGCAGAGTTGCAGTTGACAACGGATCTTGTCTGTAAACTAGACAAAGAAGCCCCGCGGGAGTTGTGGGAAGCAGTTTGGTGTGACTCATTGAGTGACTTCCTGAACCCTACTGCATCCAATGATCCAATGAAATGACGGCCGAAAAGCTTCCTCCCGCCCAAGCGAACCCATGCATCCATCACATGTGCAGCAGAAGCGGAAGAACAAAAACACGGGGAAGCAGCAACGCCAATTGCATCCACAATCGATCTATTATATGACTGGATAGAGCTCTGGATATATAGCTGGATATAAGGACCATCAAGTCGAGTGAGTACTACTTAGCTAGCTAATAGCACAAGAAGATAAGAGATAAGATAAGACAGCAGTGCATCAGCTAAGTCAAGTCTTAAGAAGCCAATCATAAGAAGAAGAAGAAGAAAGGAAGAAGGAAGATGACCTCCTACAATCACAATCAGCCGTCATTCCTGCTGCAACCTCCCAACAACAACAACACTACTACTACGAGTACTACTACAAGTACTTCTACTTCTGGTATGAGTAATAATAATATGGACAATGGCCCTCGCGCGAAATGCGATCAAGTGATCTTTGAAGCCATGTCGAAAGCAGCCGAGATTATCGTGCAAGGACGTACGCGACCTACCGTTGGCAGTACCCATCCTTCGCCGTACGCTCTATCCGCCTTTGGAGGGACTGCTATTAATAGCAACAGCAATAACAACAACAATAACCAACAGCATAATGGCAGCAGTCGATTCAATCTCATGGTGCCAGAAATTGCACATGTGCGGTAAGAAAACAACCAAAATGAAAAAATATGAAAAGAAAATGGAAAAATGATCTGACCTAGTGTGTCTTATGATTTTGTTTGTTTTCTATTTCTATTTATTTCTATTTCTATTTCTATTTATTTCAGTCAAATCCTCCAACGATGGCGCCGTGCTCTTCACGTTCCTCTGCGTTTGGATTTGTACTATCACAATCCAGTGACCAACCAGAACGAATTGGTGGAACGTTGGTGTTTGGAGTATCAGACTGCCAATAGCAACAGCAACAACAACACTTATGACAACCACAAGCGCAACAGCAACACGAATAGCAATGATCCCATTGTCCAACTACGACATGTCTGCAAAAAAATTGTCATTTGGCTCCGCAATCTGTATTGCTCGTCTCGACTTCTACCTGCACAAGCACTGCAGCATCCCAGTTGTGGTGCCATGGGAATGCCGCCTTTGCAATTCTCCATTTACACTCCCACAACCTCAACTACAACACCCCATACTCCACACAAGGAAGAATTGCAAGGCTACTTGCGCCAACAACAACCATCCACCGTTGTCACGCCCTATGGAGAATTGGCATGGACTGTCTATTATGCCTCCAAAACGTACATTGAAGCCTACTTGCCACCCACGCATCCTGCCAAGGCACCCCTTTGGAAACAATCCGATAATGGAACTACGGCACGGCCCATTCTACGAAATACTACGGCACCCATGGCCATTCCACGCACTGCCAGTACCGATCAGTTGCATACTGGACAGCAACAGCAGCAGCAGCAACACCAAGCCATGGTGCCACAATCCGCACCGGCAGGAGGAAATTATTTTTTGCAGGCTCACAACAACAATAATCATCATCACAACAATCATCATTACAATCCGACAGTGCCATACAATCAACAACAACAGCAACAAAATCAGCCAACGTCATTGCAGTACCCCAACAATACGTATCATGCTCCACGACACCTCATGCATCGATCCAATAGCAGCCATCAGGAAGAACATGCCAATCATCATCATCACCATTATATTCAACGACGCAATACATCCCTCGGCATTCCGGAAACGGCAGCTGCTGCAAGGATACAATTGCAGCAAATGGATAAGAATGCCCATGCCCATAACAACCACAACCACAATAATACTACCAAAACCATGCCGACCAAGGCCGAATTGGAAAAACCCGAACGCATCATGAGTGGATTGAGTTTGGCACTACTCGATGACAACAGCAATGATAATACTACTAATGGTACTGCAAACAACAGCAGCAATAACAACCAAACGACGCCAATCGAAAATGACGAGCAAGTCGAAAAACGAAGGGCGGCATTGCATCATGCGCCACCACAATTCAACAACAACAACAATAACAACAACAATACGGAATATGGATATGCCTACAACAATCATATTTCTTGGAATCAAATTCGGCCTTCCACCAATGTACCCATTGCGTTGCCAGCGTCTCCCACCGATCAACCACTGCTCGCAAGACAGAGTTATTCGCCCGCTCGAGGACGACTTGGCAGTAGTCCGGGGACACGACTCGGTACGAGTCCCATTGTCGGAACACCGCCGACAGGGGGCGCTTTTTTACGAACGGCTACTGGAACCACGCCGGTCAACACGGCGGCCTTGTTGCCACCGCGGAATATGGCTGCGGCACCACCGTTTCCCACCCGACCCATGGGATTTGCACAACCGCCGCCACCCGTAGCAGCACAGCAACAGCAGCAACAACAGCACCCATCTCCACAGCAGCAAGCACCTCAACAACCACCGCAACAAGAACAACCGCCCATGACGTCACTCGATTTGTTACACAGCAGTCCTTTTCAACAAGGGGCTTCCATCATGATGACACAACAACAACAAGTTCCTACTACAAGCGCTACGAGTAATCCCATGCTGAATAGTCTTGGTAGACCACCGGCTTCCTTTTTAGCCATGAGTGGGGGACAATCATCGGCCATGATGATGATGATGATGATGGGATCGGCGCAAGCGGGCAACCATCACAACAGCCACATTAACGATACCGTTATCCAAGCGACTCAGGATGACGAAGAAGAATTGTTTCAAGACATGCCCTTTGCCGTCGAAGATTTGGCGCCTCCAACGACGACAACGACGACCATGAGTAGTCATACCAATACAACTGGTGTACCACCACCCGTCGATGCCTATTACGATTTGGGATCGTCGTCCGCTGCCGTGGCATCCTTTGCACAGAAATGTGCTCCCGCGCCGCATCATCGACTCAAGTTGTTTGACAGTACAACGACGACGACCACGACGAACAATAATAACAATACGGCGACGGATGTCTTGGGCAGTGGAGACTTGACGACTCAATTGGCTGAGTTTCGGTCCTTTGGTGCTTCGCTCATGGCATCGTCGTCACGTGGTGGTGCTGGCGGTGGTAACAGCGGAAGTGATGACAGTGGCAGTACGTCCCAGTTGACCAGTGCGGCGCCGCTGCCGCTTCGAACGAATTGAGGCAGTGGAACGGATTGCGGACTAGCTAGCGAGTTCTACCTAGCTAGCTGACCCAGCAGCTAGCCAGCCTAGAAGTGGGGCCTGGTAGTACGTACCGTGCACTCTGTACTCAATGGGACGGTGCTCCGAACGGATTGAGTCGAACGGATTGCAGACTATCGAGCTAGCTGGCCAGCCTACTAGAAGTGGGGCCTGGTCTGTACCGTACTCGATGGGACGGTGCTGCATGGATGGGGGAAAGCTTTGTTTGTTTGTTGGATTTTTGCATGTACGATGCGATACCGGTAGGGTGCATACATGCATGCTCCACTGTCTCTCTTATTAGGGATGAGGCCATGTTGAGACCGCAACTTTGCTAGATCCGTATGAAACCTGGTGGCGATGAAGTTCAAGGATACAGCGGCCACGTACGAATTGGCCTGATTGGGGTTTGGACGGCTCCGTGCTGTCGTACATGTCTATACGTAAACATTAACAAGTACACTACATGTACAATGATGACTTGTTTGGTAGTAACCGTGTTGAACTAAAAGTACTCCGTCAATAGTAGAAAATTAATACAGACAACCAGCACGCATGGGAAATCGTACATGTATACGTGGTGATGGATGGAAACGTATTGGATCGTCTCGTATCGTTTCGTTTAGAAGGTACAGTATCGTCTCGAGAAAGGGAGGGATGAAGCAGGAAGAGAGTGAAGTTGGCCGTGGAAGCCGGCATCTATCGTCCGTTTTGTCTCGTCCTCATTCTGGCTCAGCCAGGTACGGTAATACAGTCGCAAGTCTTCCCCGTCGAAGATACATGGATGTATGTATGGATTACCGCACCGTACTGCCAAGCAAGAAGAGAAGGAGCCCGCCCCGTGGTGTGGGAAGCAAGCTTAGGAAGAAGACGAAGAAGCAACCGAGACGTCAGCCGACGCGACGGTGACTTGTGCAATGCTCGAGTCGGAGCCACGGCGTTCGGCAGCAGTACTACTAGCCTCACTAATTGCAGAGGCATTGGACTTGCGTCGACGCGCCAATTCCCGGTCTCGTCGTCGGGCAATCTTGCTCTTGGCACTGGACTTGTAGGTATCCGCAAGGCCGTCACGGAAATGAGCTCCGACCTTTTCACGAGCCGTCTTTTCGTCAATTTGCCACCAACGTCCGCCCTTGAGCTTGATGAACGTGCCGACAGGACAGGCATCGTAGAGGATATCCATTACGGTAGAGACAATGGCGGACTTTTCTTGGCGGTCCTTGGCGGCTTGGTAGCGCTGCAGGAACATGCCCACGGTAACTCGAAATCGTCGGTTGCCTGTGGTACAAAAAGACAAAATGAGACAGTTAGGAAACGTGTTACAAGAAGTAGAGTCATTGCCGACGCGCTCCCGCGACTAGGGGGACTTACCGATCGCATTGAAGTTTTCGTTGCCTTGTCCACAGAGAATGGAGTAAGGCTGTGGTTCGAAATCAGTAGGTAGCAAGCTCAATCCTTTGCTCTTCTTGTTCAGAAAGAGCAACTTGCTTGCTGGAGGAGGAGCAATGCCAGTAGTAGCAGCAGACTGAGAGGAGTGTCTCCTCTTTCTAGCAGCCAGCTGAAGGGACACCAGGGAATTCTGGTTCTTCATGCTTGAAAAAGCAGGTTCTTCAGGCTGGATGACACATGGTTTCTTGTAGGTGCTGCTAGGAGCAGCCGATGTCATGGTCATCATGTCGTTGTGGTTATTTTCAGTTGTTCCAGATTCCCAGTCGAACTCTTGAGCACTCACTGGGAATAAGATTTCAGGCTCCTCGCAGTCTTGTGGAGCATCAAAATGGGAGGCGGCCCAAGTACTGTTCACGTTGACTCCTCCAAGGAAGGCAGTGTCATGGTAGATGGGGTGGGTGGGGTTGGCCATGGTTGGGATGTTCATTGTATTAGTTGGTTGGTTTGGTTTGGTTGGTGGAATACGAGAAAGAAAGAATGCTTGTTTGCTGTCGTACCAAAGTGAGCTATCCAAAAATTGTGAGAAGGGAGATTTTGATTTTTCATCACCGATCCAAACACCGACGCGGTGTCTATCGATTGCGCGATTGAGAGAGGCCCGCAGGTATAAAATCGTGTAGATCCAGTACTCAAGTTCTCCTTTCTACCGTCTGTCGTTGGACTTTACCCAGAGCCTCCACGGAAACGGATCTTGCCTCCGTACTATTCTGTAGGCAATGGTGCATAATTGCCTCCTTGACGCGTGGATGCGAACACATTACAAAAACCTGGCCAGATCTGGGGGAACGACGCGTTACAGTAACCTGGATAGTGGAACTGGCTGATTAACCACTCTAATTGGTACAGTAACATCATGGATGAGGGTACTCTTACTCTATAGTCATTTGGTTTATACTAGTGAAACGACCGATATTTTGATCCCGGAATTCAGCCCTCTATTTGATTTAAAGGCGACTGCATTGTCCTATGACATTGGCATGAAAAAAAGCCCACGACCAGTGGACAAACTTCACTTGACTAATAATTCTCTTCAAGACAAATCGGATGCTATCCCCAGCTTATCTTAAAAGGAATGTCGCAGATACAGGAATTCTGCCAACATGACTGTTCGTTGTAAGAAGATTGCCTTTGCTGGCGCAACAAGGAAATAGAATGCGTGAGTGATTGAATCAATGGTTCCTTCTTTGGTGAAGTTGGGGTTATCTCTATTTATTGATGCGCTATCAGATGCTTTCTAAGATGCCGGAGACTGGACAAGTCCCTTCTTTTTCTCAATGTTCCGAGGCTGACAGAGGTCTTTAAAAAATTGCTTGATCGTTACGATTGAGTATTTTCTAACATGCCGGAGATTGAAACACATACTACGCTTCAACATGCTCCCTATTTCCGCTCTCCGGGAACAAAGTAATTAAAGGTTACCCCCTCGAACAACAAGTAGCAGTGTATTGGAGATGTCACAGTTGCCGGAGATTTGATTAATGTCACCAAATTTGACTATCACACTCTTTTGCTGTAACCAGGATATAAGGTACAGATTTTGGTAGCATCAGATGCTTTCTGACATGCCGGAGATTTGAAACCTCCCTTCCTTTTCGGAAGCTTACCAATAAATCCACTTGTCACTCGAAAGGAACCTGGCGCTGCGGAGTACTCCGAGTACTATTCCTTGGTTTGGAGTACTTTCTGAGATACCGGAGTTTTGATCCTAGATTATCCATCAAAATGTTCCAGCATGCAGCCAAAGCCTTAAACTGCACCGCCTTAGCTACCGCCTTCGGTTTGTTTCGAACGGAGAGCTTACAGCTGCTTACGGAACGGAAAGAGACAATGGTGGGGTGGTTCAAGGCTTCAGGGAAAAAGAACAGAACATCACTTGAAGTTACACATGGCATGCATTATCTAAGACCGGAAGACCTGCTTCATTTTAAAAATTATTCGCCGAATAGTCAAGGAGAAGCCTTTGCATAATAATTTCCGAATGAATAGCAGCAAGATTTGGTCGAACTGTGAAATTACTTGTACTGTACTTTGTTCCGACAGTCTGCATGCACTCTGCATGCACTCTGCATGCACCTCTTCTTCTGTCCTCAGTACCATAGTCAATGTGTATGTTCACCGATCTGGACCAGAGAAAAGCCTTAACTAACTACTAGTAAGGCCAAAACTCAAAACTCACTCGTCTCACGATCACCTGGGAATCAGTTCAAGTTGCACAAGTGCTTAGGCCTCCTTTAAGTCTACGACTGTAGACGACAGTACACTGCATGTTCCATACATATATGCCATACCCTTGGAGTCTCGAGTGCCAAATACATACCGTACAACATGTACGTTCCAGCGAAAAGTGCGACATTTACCAGAGTAGCTCTAGAGTACAGGCTAGCTCATGATACTCAGTAGTACCAGTACTCGAGTACAAAACAGTTATCATTGGTACCGAGAAGCCGAGTATTAATAGTACTGGTACAGCGGTACTAATAGAGTGGTAATTAGTTACTGAGTATGAATTAATTACAGAAACCAAGAGAGAAGAACACACAGAACTGACTTATGCATCGTTGTGCTCCAAGGCTGTCCCGGCAACAACTGATACGGGTCACTTTTACTAACTTCTGAACACCCCGACGGAAGTGCAAGCTGCATACTAGAGGATGGAACCGCAAACGCTAGGGTCAAGCGTAGCGTTTAAACGCTAACAGGTCCCCTTAGCGTTTGTTATTATGCGTTTTTTAGCGTTTTTTATTACTATGAGCTCAGCGTTTTTGTTAGCGTTTTATTAGCGTTTTTGTTAGCGTTTCTGTTAGCGTTTTTTACAGTATTGGTGCACTACAATAGAGTGCAATCAGACTATTAAGTTGGCTCGCAATCTTCTTGAAGACTTTAAAAAGCGTTGGGGTAGTGCCGACGAACCCGTCTTCAATCCTGAAGTTCAACGTGGTGAACGCAATAGGCAAACTGGAATCCATCCTGCTCTCCTTATTGCCACTTTACTTGATCCAAGATTCAAGTCTCTGATTTCTGTTCCTGATGAGGGATCCAAGGTAGCAATTCGTGAGAGAGTTCTTGAAATCATGAAGATGTCAGAAATTGAAAAGCGCGATGCTCTTGGTGGTGGTGTTGCTTCAGCTGGTGATGATGTTGAAATGGAAGAAGAAAAGCAAGCCAATGACGACGATGAAGACAACAGCAGCGATGATGAAGATCCTCTAGAAGTTTTTGAGCAGCAAGTTGCTGCTGTGGAAGTTGGCAAACAAGCAAGTGCGAGCGATGATTCAATTGAGAAGACATGCAAGGATGAGCTCAAGCGTTACATTGAAGCAGGTTCACTTCCAATTCGAAAGAGCAAGCACGACAAGACCTACAATGATCCACTTGGCTGGTGGAAGAAGAATCAATCTCTCTATCCTATCCTAGCATCTTTGGCCAAGATTTACCTTTCTGTGCAGGCCACATCTGCACCCTCTGAAAGGATTTTCAGTGCTGCTTCCAGACTCATCTCCAACAAGCGCACTACCTTGAATCCAGAAATGGCCGGAAAGACTCTGTTTGTTGCTAAGAATTGGAAGAATTGGCAGGATCGTATTGATTACAAAGAAGCCGTCGAAAAGGCTGACAATGAGGACAATGAGGAGTGAAGCAGTTGAGGAGGCTGACAATTACTACAGATGATGATTTCATGGATGATAGCAGAAATGAGGAGAATAGGAAGTCAGGACTATACCACTGTGCAAGTTTAAAAGAAGGGAATCCTCGACTTGAAGGCTCAACAATAGGTTACTGACCTTGGCCACAATTGATAAATAAAACAGTCCAATGAATGTAAACAATTAGTAATCATTGAATAATGTTTTGCTTCCATTGTCTGCCAGAAGTAATCTACTACGCTGCTAGCTTGCTCAAGTGAGCATTGTGAAATCTTATATACTTATAGGTTGTTTTCAGGCCCGATAGTGCTATAGAACCATACCAACACGCACCGGCACAGTACCACGTCCAGAAAGTTCATTATATGTATAAGGAGTTAGTTCATGTTTGGTCACTGCAGCACATCCTTCCAGATAACCCAAAGTAGCATATCTGACCTCATTTTGCATCCAAACATGTCATTTTCAGGCCCGATTGTGCTATAGAACCATACCAACACGCACCGGCACCAGTACCACCGTCCAGAAAGTTCATCTATATGTATAAGGAGTTAGTTCATGTTTGGTCACTGCAGCACATCCTTCCAGATAACCCAAGTAGCATATCTGGTCTTATTTTGCATCCAAACATGTATTTTCAGGCCCGATAGTCTATAGAACCATACCAACACGCACCGGCACCAGTACTACCGTCCAGAAAGTTCATCTACATGTATAAGGAGTTAGTTCATGTTTGGTCACTGCAGCACATCCTTCCAGATAACCCAAGTAGCATATCTGACCTCATTTTGCATCCAAACATGTCATTTTCAGGCCCGATTGTGCTATAGAACCATACCAACACGCACCGGCACCAGTACCACCGTCCAGAAAGTTCATCTATATGTATAAGGAGTAGTTCATGTTTGGTCACTGCAGCACATCCTTCCAGATAACCCAAAGTAGCATATCTGGTCTTATTTTGCATCCAAACATGTCATTTTCAGGCCCGATAGTGCTATAGAACCATACCAACACACACCGGCACCAGTACCACCGTCCAGAAAGTTCATCTATATGTATAAAGAGTTGGTGAAGTAAGTTATACAAGGTTGTAAGTGGCATCTTCATTGAAAAACGTTAAAACAGAGATAAAACGCTATAAAACGCTATAAAACGCTAAAAACGCTGTTTTTATACACTACTACACAAACACGCTAAAAAACGCAAACGCTTGGGGCTAGCGTAGCGTATAAAACGCTACGCTAAAACGCTAAAAACGCTACGCTAAAAAACGTTGCGGTTCCATCCTCTACTGCATACAGTACATACGCATGTAGTACGGAGTACACTACCGTAGTGCAGTTAAAAAGCTGACGCAAGCAATATCATAGTAGCAGGACGGCTTTGGGCAAGATCTCTGACAAGTCGAGTCCGGATCCGCCTGCATACCAGTACATGTACACCGCTCTATTGATGAGGATCTGTCGCCGCCGTATCCGTATGGTACTAGTACCACTTCTCTCATCAAGAACTCTATGGAGTTCACTTTTTACTCAAAATACGTATCGGTACCGTCCTTGGTGCTTCATCCTTCATCTCTACCAGGGAGATGCTGGATGAACAATCACCTTCATTGATACCGGTACGGGGGTACATGTACAGGAAGGCGGAAGGCGGCGACTCGGCGATGTACATTGCCTCTCCCGCATTCACATGTTACCGGTACTACATGCAGGGAGCCACCTACCGTATGATATTATTGCATTATCTGGCAAGATGTCCTCTCCTAGCTGGTTGGGACTGACTCTGCTTGGCTAGCTAGGCTGAAGCGACAAGAAGGGAGATCTGAAATGTCACTGAAGGTATAAGCTACATTATGTGTGTACTCCCCGCTCCCCGCACCACCATTGAGTTCCCGCTGATCCCGGTGCATGTACAGCGCACCTGGTGCGAGTGCACGCACCATGTCCTGAAGAGTTGCTGCCCAGGCAAAAAGATACCGGTGGTACAGTAGGCTACTGGAGGTACCAGCACCGGTACCGGTACCGGTACCGGTACGTGTCGAATGAGCGGCCGCTCGTGACTCGGGCGCGACAAGGTGAGGAATTTATCGTTCAATCGCACAAGCAATCAATAACTTCTTTGTTATGTCATGGCTGCAGCTCGAGATAGCATCCCGGTGCATTGTAGGTTGCCGGAGCGAGTGGTTGCTAAACGGGGAGATCTCCACGACCAATTTCGAAACCACGAGCTCACGGCAATCTAATTCTTGGCGAGCATTGTGCTGGTTTAGAGAAGTGGTCTTTCCCAGGAGAGAAATATGGCACTCGCGCAGCCATCGCATCATGGGGCGACGAAAGCCATGCCGCTATGAAGATAGAAAAGCTAAGTCAGCTCTTCGTACAGGCCTCCTACCAGTATCTGGCCTCAATAGTCGTCCGGGCAATTGAGTGGGGCTGCGCTCCTGCTTGCCTCAACTCTACTTGGACCGGTCTCGTTGAGGCTCGCTTTGAAAGCAAACTCAAGCAGGCCATTCTTCATGAAACCTTGCCTTCGACTGTGTTGCGTGTTGGGACCGTGTTGCGTGAGGCCACGCTTCTGTCGCATCAACTGTATGGCATACCGGGGTACTTCGATCCACTCTGTTGGAGCATGGTGCCCCGCGGCAACCATTCGATCAGAGTAGGAAATTTATCTACGGAAGATGATCACGTCGCGGGTCGTTGTGGGAAGATCTTCCAATGAAGCTACTTGCAGCCTTTGGCGGCCGGAACAGTGAGAATTTGGTGGATCACGGACCGTGGTGCGCAGCACAAAACAGGATCATGCAACTTCCACGCAACTTGTTCCTCCCTGGCCAGCGTATCCCTGAGTTTCTTGCTTCGTACCGGTAGCGTGTATCATAAACACTAACTGAAGCCGAAACAAGCAACCGTAGAATGATGGTAAAAGTCCATGTTCTGTTTTGTGCGTTTTTCTTTTATTTTTGTTATCTCTAGAGTAGTTCATTAAAGGTGGGAGACTCGTTCTGGTACAGACCTTTGGAGGCAGGTTTGGAGGTTCTTGAAGCAAAAAAGCATGATAGAATGGGGGCAATGAATTTGAGGCCAAGAGGATGTAGAATTAGACAGTACGCAGCCAGAGAAGGGGTTCAGTCTTGTCGTCTTCGAAAACAATCTCTTTTTGTTGCTCTTCGTCTTCTTCTTCCTCGCTGCGGTCATAAATCAGAGCATGATCAGTTTGACCCAAGAGCGTCAAGGTAACTCGGCACCACAAGCAGGCAACCGCCATGATGATGCAGGACTGCATGAGCTGAGGCCGCATACCAAGGACAATGTTGGTAATATTCCAAGAAATGCAAATTCCGACCAAAGCACCCACTGCGAAACGACCTTCCAAGTAAGAAAGAAGTTCTGCCAGGACATCTTCAGCATTCTCAGATGTCCGCGAGCGTCCCACAACAGACAAGAAAACCGATGCGACAAGGCGTCGTAGCGTGGACAAGATGACAAGGGCGATGATGGTGGTGGCCAAGTTCCAGGACAAGGAGAAGAAGACCAATTCGGAGTTGGTCTTGGCAAGGATCTCCTTTCCCCAGAGCATCACAGCAATGAATTCGGCACCGAGTGTAGAGAGATAGATAAAGACACCAACCAAGAAGCCAAGCAGGATACTGCAGACCTTGAAGCGACCAAGTTGGGGCATGTGGAAGCGTTCTTCGGAAGTTGGAGCACTGCTGTCGCCGTGGACGGGAAGGGTGGTTTGAGTTTCAGTGACTTTGGTGGAGCTCATGGTGGGATGTTTTGAGGTGGTTAGTCCGTTGAGGTTTGGAAAGGTTTGCTTTTGTGCTTTTCTTGTGGCTTTTTGTTTGCTCGAAGTTTGTTTTTGTGAGATGTTGTTGCTCCACATTTGTTGCAGGTTGGGGCTGGTTGCCATTTCAGTGAGCTTGATCGAGCCCGAACTCTTTGGGTAACTGGGATTAGATTTGAACGCTGGGGTCGGTAGGGCTTCTACATGCGAAAACTCACGTAGATCTAGTACAGGCCCGACCATTTCAATTGGGACTGCGTTGGGCCAACTCGTAAGGCCTTAATCAAAGAAGTCATTCACACCAATTTGTATCTTCGAAAGAGTATAAAACAAACTAATACTATGGCTATAATTTGTCGTTTCACTCCCAACCAACTTTTGCACGAACAAGAGCTCCCAATGCATCCACGTAAACCCCCAGTACGGAAACAACATGCGAGGAAACACACGACGATGGCCTACCCACCCATAGGGATGGCTCCGACTAGCTTACTGGGCGTCTTTTGATCCGATTTTGGTTGGGAAGGTTGTGCAAGACAGCATACATAGAGAAACCACCACGACCAAGCAGCTCCGCGGTATCGGAGGTCATCAGAAAGACCTTTGTGGCCGGTTAGTTGTTGTCCAAACCACCGCTGCAAGGAAAGATGCGTAGCCCTTTTCTTGGGCCATCCGTACTGAGTCTACGCGCATTTGCATTCAAACCGCAACTATGAGTCTTATGACTTGCTCAACATAGTAACTATGCACCAGTATGACTGTTGTCTGCTTCAATTGAACGAAAAGGCCCAACGGAGCTTGCTTGGCAAGTGACGGTGATGGATGATGCATGCTAATGGGAAGGCAGCAAAGTTTCTTTAGCATAGGAAGGCTGGCTGGTCCTGTTACAAACGTCAATACCTTACCAAATTTCACTCCAACGCCTCTCTTCTCCGGCTCATGTTTGGATGATAGTAGAATCATCGGGAAATTATGCCCCCCCCCCCCAAGCTAGCACCAACAGCAAGCAAGATCAGTCAATTTGTGGGCTAGCCAACTAAGATGATAGTACTACACAGGCGACAAACCCAGCCAACGGGCTTTTGCGTCCTCTAGGATTCGAGCCATTGGTTTGCTTCATTGGAGAAAAACTCCACCACGTGCATGTCCTTGACTCCCTCAGATGGATAGATACATGTAGCCAGACTAGCTAGCGTTCCGTACTCGGCTTCCCGAGCTGGTAGATGGAGCTTGCAATTCTGCTGTAGCCGGTACATGACCGATGACGATCACACATTGTGACTCCTCAGTAAGGAGCGGGTTTAGTTGATTGTGATTCGATTGGTACCCCGTTATAGCGTAACACACGTCCGTATGGTACTTTTAAGTACCATAGTACCGGTAAAAGTGGCTTGGCAACAAGGTAAAACTTACGGAAAGCGCCACACCACCACCCCCAACCCCCAACAAGGACACAAGGCCTACCGGTACTAGCAGGACAACACTGACAACACCGCAGCACCTCGCGGTAAAGGAGCTTTACAACTGAAAAGTTAATATTTTATTTCCAGAAAGCTAAGCAATTTTGTATTTATGTCTTTGTTAGGATCAAGAAGCCAGTGTTCCAAAGAACACAAGCTTTAAAGCCTGGATTCCGGGCTTTGAAGCCAATGTTCCAAGGAACACTGGCTTCCCTTTAATTGGGAACAAGCCAATAATCTACTTTGATCCCACTGGAACATTGATTGTACTTATAAATATATAGTAAAGTCCACTGGCTTCAAATTGTGTAGAAGCCAGTGATCCTAGGAGTTAAAGCCAGTGTTCCTAAGCCAGAGATCCTTTCTGTTCCAAGTCATAATCGTTTCAGCAAAATTATTTGTTTTGAAATTTTACCAACCCATTTTAAGCTTCCAAGCTTCCAAGCCAATTTATTTACCTGGAGGTGCCGCTGCTGCATGGTCACAAACGATGCTTCAAAACAAACTGTACAGGTAGACTAATAGTCTAATCTGCAGTACAGTACCACAAAGAAAGAACTTCACTAAGTTGTGTAAGTAATAAGGTTGTTATTAGCAGGATGAAAGAAACAAAGGGCAGGACTCATCCAGCAAGGAAGAAAGAAGAAGCGGTGGCCCCAGACGAAGTCGAAAGCCAGATCCCGCCAAAACTTGACCAAGCCGTAAGCGACAGTCTTCTCAAGCGAGCCGAATTGGAAGCACTTCAGCAATGGAGAGATGAGGAAACCAATAACATGCTCAAGAGCCAGGTGGCAGCAGCAGAATTTGAAGATGATGAAATGAATAAGAAAGTCCGGGCCAAAATTGAGGGTACCGATAATTCTGCCAGAAGTGGTGCAAGTAGTACTCCCAGCAATCTGAGAGGCAGCAGTCGACAGCAGCGACCCCAACAACAAGCTAAGAGCCAGGTGGCAGCAGCAGAATTTGAAGATGACGAAATGAATAGGAAAATCAGGGCCAAAACGAGTTGTACCGAGAATTCTTCCAGAAGTGTTGCTGGTAGTACTCCCGGAAATCTGAGAGGCAGCAGTCGAAAGCAGCCACCACAATCTTCTACATGTACAACTGGAGCCACGCAAAAGGACTCGCCAAAAGAACTCATGAAAATTGTGGCTGATAGAGCCAGTGGTGAGATGACAGCTGCAGCAGCAGCAGAAAGCTTAGGAGACGATTGCTGTAAAAAGCAAGGATACAACAACAATCACCGTGGTGAGATGACGACATCTTCTGAAATCGGTAAACCTGCATCCAACGTACAACAAGGATCTACCGCACAGCAACAACAACCCCAGCGACAGTCATTTCGACCAGGGGCGTACCAGGGAGCTCCAGGTGCAGCTTTACAACGAATCAATACTATACGATTCTCGCTGGTGGGAAGCACTGTGGCGAGACCAATCATGCTGGATATGGAGGATCTACTTGACTCCTCCGAAGAAAGTGGTACTGTTCCAAACGAACCGAGTACTGGTCCAAACGACATAGAACATCCCAGCAGCAGCCACCACCAAGACAACGACAACCATGATTATTCCACAGACAACCACCCGCTGGCCGTGGCAAATCCAGTCGAGGAGGACGACTTAGAGATGCCCAGCACTCTCATGCAAGCCAATCCTGTCGATTTGGAGGAGCTGGAACGCAGACACCACGTGCGGAAGAAACAGCAACAATCCTTCATCTTCCTCATGATTGCAAGCATTATCGTTGCAGGAGTCATCGTAGGAGCTGTCGTTGGAACCCAAAAGAACAAGAAGAAGGATTCACTCGTAATATATACTACCAAGCCACCAACGTTTGTCGATGCATCCTTGGAACCATCACAAGCACCATCGTCGGCGCCCACTGGATCGCTGGACTATTTGCTGGACAATCTACCGAATCACACGATGGCAAGTCTCCACAGCAGCAGTGAGACTCCGCAGTGGAAAGCATGGAATTGGCTATACAGTCACCAAAACATGACATACTTGCCAGAATGGAGAAAGCTGCAGCTGTTTGCAATGGCTATATTTTTCTATGCCTTTGAGGGAGAACACTGGAACCCTCTCATACGGGAGCGATGGATGGATGACACAAAGCCCGAGTGTGAGTGGTTCTCCAGTGGATTTGGATACTTCTCCCTAGTTGACGGGAAATACGCAGAATGGCAAGAGGAGTATCAAGTCAATCCATGCAACATGCATGGACGATTCACCTCTCTTTGGCTTTCGGATCTTCACTTGTCTGGTCTCATGCCAGTTGTACCACCAGAAATTGCACTCTTGACTTCTTTGGTTGATTTTGAAATGAGTTTCAATGATATTGCTGTACCAATCGCATTGATGTTACCAACAGAATTTGGACAGCTGGCTGCTTTGACTGGTTTGAACCTGGAGTACAATCAGCTAAGCGGCCAATTACCTTCTCATCTTGGAGGCATCCCAGGGTTGGAGCAAGTGTGGTTGTTTGAAAACCAGTTGAGCGGCCCAGTCCCTTCGGAGATTGGACAACTCTCCACATTGGCTGCCTTGCGGTTGTCGGGCAATCAATTGTCAGGTAAAATACCATCAGAACTTGGACAGCTGACGGAATTGGTTTGGCTGGATTTGCATAAAAATCAGTTGACGGGCCAACTGCCGTTGGAGCTTGGCATGATGACATCATTGACATCGCTGGATCTTCGCAACAATAAATTGAGAGGAACACTGCCTAGCACATTGAATGCTTCCATGGGTTTGAAACTGTATGGAAATCAATTTGTGGGAACTGTCCCAGAGCACGTTTGTTCTATTCTGGAGTGTGATAATTGTGGTGAGGCAACCGTCACTCCTCCTATGGTGACGACATGTGCCAACCTCATGGAAGGTCCACCCGATTGGCCTGGGAGGTTTCCAACCACTGGTACTGCTGCTGTCATGCTCAATATCCGAACAGATCCCTATTCCGAGGAGAATTCGTGGGTTTGGCAGAAGAAAGAATCCAACAGTGCTTGGGAAACGTTGGAATCGAGTGGTCCGCTGACATTGCCCCAGGCCGTTAACTCCTATCTCTTTACAGTCAACCCCAACACTGCCTACCGACTGCTTGTATATGAAGTGTGGGGCGATGGAATTATCAAAGGATGGATCACTCTGACAGCAGCCAATGAAAGACTACTGTATTCTTTCGGTGAGGATGCGTTCACCGAAATCACCATTGGCATTTTGGTTGGGGCTGACGGATCTTTGGAAGTCACCAATTCTACTATAGTCTAAGCTCATGTGGCAATCTCGCTAGCTAGCTTAAGGTATCGTTATCAACTAACTGAAGTAAAGGGGGCCTAGCTACGGTAGCAAGAGTAGTGGATGGTCAACTTCGTACTAACGGTATCGAGCGCCACGACTAGTTGAGTAGAGTAGTAGGATAGGGTGGTGGCGAGACTCGGCCATTTACTGAGCCGACCGTCTCCGCAACCCAGGGGTGCCGCTCGTGATTGCTAGAATCCCGAGCGGGAACCAAGGCACGAATGAGGCAGTCCCGCGGGATGTNAGTCCCGCGTGATTGTACGACATTCGGCCAACCCAAATAGCCAAAGGCAGAACAGGGTGGGAGCGTAGCGGGGTGGGAAAGTTTGGAGAGACCGAGAGGAGGCAAGGTCTCTCTGGAGAGTTTTGGACTAAGGGAGATTAGTCCTCGTAGAGTTCCGCGTGAAGGAGGATCTCTGCGATAGTAGCAGGCGCCTGAGCAGGCGGGAGGAACTTGTCGTAGGATCCCGCCTGGAAGGTGTAGGCACCATGGGCCAGCATTTTCTGGGAGTAGTGGTGCGTGATGGTGGCGGCCTGGATTCGAAGGTAGCGCAACATGGCGTCTGACTTCCATCGACCGAGGAGGCGGATGGCATCAGAGTCCACATGGGCGCAGAGGAGAGCAGTGGGAGCGAGCGGAGACTTTCATGTGGGAGATTCCGGTGGTCCGTTCGAGCCGCTTTGCGGCAGCTCGAAGGGCATCGGTGATGAACTTGGGCTTGACGTTGTACCATTTCTTACGGACGGAGTTGTAGTGTTTGTAGAGTGGAGTGGAGGAATTTCTACTGAGGAGTCATTATCCAAAACGCCAATCACCCATCAACATCAAGACCACAAACACCAACAGGAAAATTCGAAGTATCGAGTTGTCTTGTTTCGCCCATCGAGACGCTGTTTGCCACTCCAAGAAATAGTCCCCGATCTAACTCCTGTCCATAGGAATAGAATAGGAACTGCATCTGTCAGTCGCAACGAGCATCTTCGCAGGCATTCCAAGACGAATTTCCGAATCGGAAGACAAGGAACTCATTCTGTTTGCTCAGAAGACATCGAGCTGATAATCCTTTGCTCAGCCATAGCAAATTACTTTCTGCTCAGTCCATTCTCGACAACAAGAACAACGTCCTAGTCCAATCCCACGACCTTCCAGACTGCTCCGAGTCGTACCTCCGTACCTCTATCGGCCGATCGATCGAACTAACTGACTGATTCCGATAGAAGCAACCAAGCCTTTCGATTTCCCGTTTGCCAAGCAAGAACTCAGTATCTACACTACTCACCACACACAGTGAATCGGTAGAAACTATCTTCCTGCTACGCAACAAGGATATTCGGTGAACTCGAGTTGCAAGAACAAGAATTTGGCGCCATCCCTCATTGCAGAGTACCACCACGGGCAGGCAACAACATCTCATTCTTCCAACGACCAATCACGAACATTCCACAATACCTCCTATACGATCCCCCACAAGAATCAGTACACTCAGTACAGAAATCCAAGCCATCCCCCTCATTGCGTACCATAGGATTTGGGCAGGCACGCACGTCTTTACTGAGTGCCGAGTATGTCAGACACACGCTACGTGAATTCTCTCCGGCAAATCCACTCGAATCAACCTATCTCCTCAACCAGACGGAGTTAGAAGGATCCAAGGACACACACAGCAAGCTTCTCACAAGCCTCGCATCATTACAGGAACACTGCTATCTAGCTAGGACCACCTGCAAGCTCTCTAGCCAACAGGAACTCCATCGCGCAAGAACCTTGCCTACAAGAACTTCCCTCCGGCAAATCCACTCGAATCAACCTATCTCCTCAACCAGACGGAGTTAGAAGGATCCAAAGATAGCCACAACAAGGCTCTCCGCCGAGCTTCATCACAACAGGACCATTGAACGCTAGCTAGCACTGACTGCAAAACTCTCCAGTCAACAGTAACAGCACTACTGCAAACCCTCCAGCCAACAGGAAACACCATACAATATGACCTCCAAACAGCAGTCGTCCCTGATGGACCACTTTGCACCACCAAAAGGCGCTGACAAGGGACCAAAACAAGGAAAACACCAGAAGAGAAAAGAAGGGATCCCAGAGCCGAACAACCCCACGCGTACCAAACCCAAACCAGGCACCACCAGAGCACCCCGCAAACATCCCAGAGAGAACACACAAAGGCGGCGCCGAAACAAGAAAAACAAGGACTCACCCAACCCCACGGAAAAACCACCAACAACCGACCCCACACCAAAGGCAATGAAAGCAGGGAGGAGAGGCTATGCAACATGGTGCCCACCAGAACGAGGGTGATGAAATCATGGCAACACCCCCAAACCTGCCGAGACATGCAGGAACCAACCAGACCACTGCCAAGCACAAGATTACGCCAAGAAACGAAGAAACACCTGGCACCGGAATGCCCACCAACCACTTCCTTCCACACAACCCAGAAACTGAAATCAAGTTCGAAAACATCCCCACCGATGACCCAACCACAGCCAGAGCAACCCGCCCAGAAGCTACCGCAACCTCATCCAGCTCGAAACCCCACCAAGCTGCCATAGTACAAAACCAACCAGCGCGAACAGGGCGAGTAAATTCGACCGACGACGAATCCATTGAAACAGATGACGACACACACCAGGAGACGCCAAAGCCTACCAAGTCAGTCAGCATCTTCGAGGGAGACGGGGAGCACACCCAGGACACAGTACCCGACCCCAGACCATGACCAACCAGACGTACTCTGCGCAGAGTGAAACCCAACACCAAGACCCTGACAAAGGAAAAAGCCACAAAAGAAGGTAGAGACGGCCAAACAAGAAAATGATGAAGCGGGCACACAAGTTACACAGGAGATGATCCGGAGGAACCTGAGCATCATAGGCGACCCTAAACCGACCACCAAAACATGTTACGGCACTGGATCACGACTAAATATCAACCTTCTCCAGCCCTTCAATCCTTGCGACATG